ATTGAGAAATCCTGAGTGAATGGAGCAAGGAGGATTCTAGAAGCCATAGTCCTGGGCAAACTCTGCTCTTGGGATTAGGAAGAACAGTTATGGTAGCAGGAGTCAGGAATTTGAGAACTGTTTTGAGAGAACTGATTAATCTGACCTCTTTCTCTCTCGGGATACATGAGACTTGCACAAGCACTGGATTTTGTCCTGCAACATCTTAAAAGTACCACCCACTACCTGAAGTATTCTCTCCCACTGAGGCCCTTGGTTCCTACCACCTTCCACAAACCCCATACCTCAGCCAGAATGAAATGTGGACTTCATGGAATGAAATGGTTGGAATGTAGCTACTAAGTTACTTAGATATATCACTGGCACATTATAAAAGTATGTATCTCTAGCCTCCAGCCACCCAGGTCACTAGGTATTAGAGTCCATCTTGATATTGGCAAAAGTCTTAGACAGTTTAGCCAGTATATTTTGATTCTTTGTGTACTGTCTGGAGTACAAGGCAGAGGATGCTGATGGAGTACATAATTTTACTAAACCAGCAAAGAAATGGCTTATAGGTAAGTATGATAGCCACAGGATTTAAGCTAGCAGGTACAGAATGGAAATACATCATTCAAGACCCAGCCATGGTAGTCCCTTATCAAGTTCTCCCTGGAACACTTCATTTCACTATGGCAACCTAAAGTAGAGCCTAGCAACTGGGCTGTGTATGTGGAATTCATGGGAAAATATTGCAGGGGAAATCTATGGATGCAATAGGATAGATTCTGGGATTGAAGCCTAGGTTTCTTGTTTTAGGGAGTGGGATCATCCAGCTGTAAGAGGCAAACCATTTCAGTATGATATCACAGGAAGTGTGTGGAATTGGGAATCAGACCTAGGGTTCGATTCTTGGGTCTGCCAATCATTCAGTGGGACCTCTCTCAAGTCTCAGTGTCGGCCTCATAGAATGATTGAAAAGATGCAGCGAGGTACTGTTAAAAAGACTACATGAGTTAGTAGCATAGAACTTGGTATGTAGTATATGATCAACATATGAGAGTTCTTCCCTGAGCCTCTCACCACATTTATACATGCTGTCTACCCATCAAATTGGGTGTTCTATATAGCAGAGGTCCATCTGTATTTAGATAGCCATAAGACAGTTTCCAGACCTTGTCTGCATATTAGAATCACCTGGAGAGCTTTTTTATTTTTCTTTTTAATCCTCACCCGAGGACATTTTTCCTTTTTTTTTTTTTTTTTGTTCAGATAGAGGGAGAGAGAAACATCGAAGTGAAAGGGACACATTGAGTGGCTGCCACCCGCACAACCCAACCAGGGCCGGGGACAAACTGCAACCGAAGTACATACCCTTAGCGGGAACCGAACCCAGGTCTCTCCGGACCGCAGGCCAACACTCTAACCACTGAGCCAAACAGGCCAGGGCCTGGAGAGCTTTTTAAAATCCTGTTGCCCAGGATTCATCCTCAACCAATTAAAAAAATAATTTCTGAGAGTGGAACCCAGAGATTAGTATTTTTTAAAGTTCTTCATTTTGCTATTAAGGTTGAGAACCACTATTTTAAATGTTCCCTCTAGATTAGAAGAATGAGGAAAGAAATTAGGCCCGTGGTTGCAGACACCTGATCTAGATAGCTATATATTTGAAAATTTTCAGGGAAAAAAAAGGCTAGAGCTTGAGATAGGCAAATGAGTAGGGCATAGTGAGCTATAGTCAGAAAATAGGCCACTATAAGAATGTGGTGAGCATTCTGATTTAGGAAAAACCAGTGACAAAGTCATTAACATAGGTCCCAGGAATACATAGGATTTGCTGTAGAAATTAGGAATTTGAACCTCCCATACTTATCCTTTGACCTAGCACCGGCAACATAGATGATGTTTTTATTGCTTTGCTGTAATGGTGAATCTTGGGCTATCAGCTGTCTTTATTGCTTTGCCATGTGGTAAATCTTGGGCTATCAGTTGTCTTTATTGCTTTACTACGAGGTGAATCTTGGGCTTTCAGCAGGCCTAAAAGCAGTGGAGGGGCGGGGTAAAGTTTTACAGCCCGCTCTGCTCTGTTGTTTGGGGAGGAGCATCAAGGCATCACTGAGGTGTATGCATGTGGATATTCTTGTCCAGTGGGGTGGTACACATGGGAAAGCATTTTGCAGCAGGTCATTGATAATGAAGCCTCTTCTCATAGCCTGTTAGGTTGATGTATCTGCTCTAACTACCCAAGTGATGCTATTGATACTAACTGATGAGAAAGGTGAGGGTCAAATCTGTTTTTGTATCCTTTTAGTGAATAGAGAATCATTTGGAATAGGAGGGATGGCGTGGAATTTGAGCTTGTAAGGACAAGGCACTTTCTGGCAGGACACTTCTGGTTCCTATGAATAAAAGTAATTCAGAAGTTGAAACCTTCTACTACTTCAATCATTGGTTGTCAAGACCCACATGAGGCAGTAATGGCCAGGAAATCTTCTGCCACATAGGATGACCTGTCTTTAATTAGGTCCCTTTTCTTGACAGGCACATTAGTTTGTTTAGCAAGATAATTGGTGAAGTGGCTAAATATTATCTCCTAGTTAAGAAGACAAGAGATTCAGAGACTGTGTGGAGGTCAATAATGACAAGTTATGAAGTGGGTGAATAGCAGATTATGCAGAAATGAGGAGAGGAATAGGAGAATCAAGGTGATGAGGGAAGTAGGTTGAAAGTTAGAAATAGAAAAATCCTAAGTGGTGACACTTTAGTTAAGCTGTTATAAAAGTATGTTATAAAATAGGAGTGCTACCTGAGATCCTATGATAAGAAATATCAGAGACAGACCACACTGTAGGACTTTTGCAAAATATAGGAAGGTGAGAACTGATTAGACTACTCTTTTTTTTTTTTTTTTAATCCTCACCAGAGTACATTTTTTGCCTTTATTTTCAGATAGAGCAGGAGGGAGAGATGGAGGAAGAGAGAGAGAGAAACATTGACATGAGAGAGACACGTCTAGTGGTTGCCACCCATATGACCCCAACAGGAGCTGGGGACAAACTGCAACCGGGGTACGTGCCCTTAGTGAGAACCAAACACAAGACTCTCTGGTCCGCAGGCCGACGCTCTAACTGCTGAGCTAAACTGGCCAGGACTGATTAGACTACTCTTAAATTCTCACCCATATCAAGGGCATAAAAGATCATGATGATGACTGGGGACAGGGTTTAGAAGAGGATGTTTGAATGGAGTTGTTGGAGTGATATTCAACAAAAAAGTCAAGGAAAGATAAGTGGCCACACTCTTTCCCTAAATTAAGCTTCCCTATCTACAGCAGGTACAAACTGGGAGGAAGGAGAAAAGACTTAACTTCAATTCAGGTGGCAGATTTTGACTACTATACAGGACCGAATAGTTTAATTACTAACAACTCTCAACTAAAAGCAACCAGAAAAAGGAATGGGACCGCCCACGTTTCCATTCAAGGTTGGGAGAAGAACAAACCCCTAGAGAGGGTGTTCATAGGGACAGTGGAAAATAAAAACTAAGTTGCTTCAACTTAGTCCCAAGTCATGCTTGTTCAAGGTGATGGAACACCTACTTTGTTTTTCAGATCTTAGAGGTATAAATATGAGCTGGATGACATTCCTCCCTATAAGAATCTGTGAATGCAATGCAATATGATATATGCAATAACAGAAGCAATATGTGTGAAAATTAAAGGAGTTCTATAGCAAAAAAGATGTAATTTACTTTGGAGGGGGTGGGGATAAGAATGGGTTAGTGGGGCAGAGAAAATGGACAAGGCAGAGGAAACCATGTGTCAGATCTAAGCTGTGAGGCATGAAACAGCATGGTGTGTTTGTGGGAAAACTACAGTGGAAAGGGCCCGCATATTCAGGTGGGTGATTAAAATAGAGGTGAAATGAAGGCCATAGGTATTGCAGAGGTTCCAGTGGGGCTGTTGGCAGTCTCACCAGTGGAGTTAATGGAATTTTAAACACACGCACGCGCACACGCACACACACGCCAGTCATTTCCTCCATCAATCATTTCCTTCCACTCCTTTTATAAAATTCACCTGTTTGTTAGGGAGTGCTGAGAGGGTAGTACATGAACTTTTCCAACTTAGCACCCACAGCTTGTTGGATCTAACTCTATATCTGACGTAAGCGGAGTCAAATAGACTCTGCCTCCTAAGAATTTAGATCTGAACATTGAGAGACTGGGCCATATTTCCCCCCATCTTTATTGAAGTATGATTGACAAATTAAAATTGTATATATTTAAGGTGTACAATATCATGTTTTAATATACGTATACACTGTGAATCAATCACCTAATTGTGAATTATCAATCAACTAATTAACATATCCATATCACATAGTTACCATTTTCTTGAGTGTTGCAGGGAGAACACTTAAAATCTACTCTCTTAGCAAATTTAAATATACAATACATTGTTATTAACTATGGTCACCATGTTGTACAGTAGGTCTCCAGAACTTATTCAACTTATAACTGAAAATTTGTATCCTTTAACCAGTATCTCCCTATTTCCCACCAAGCCCCAAGCTACTGGTAACCAACATTCTACTTGTTGTTACTATGACTTTGACTTTTTTAGATTCCACAAGTGAGATCATGCAGTATTTGTCTGCCTGTGTCTGGTTTATTTCACGTAGTATAATGCCCTCCAGGTTCATCCATGTTGTCACAAATGGCAGGATTTCCTTCTTCTTTAAATCTGAATAATATTCCATTGTGTGTGTGTGTCACATTTTCTTTATCCATCTGTCCGTCGACAGAAACTTAGGTTGTTTCCATTATGTTGAATGATGGTGCAATGAACATGGGAATACGATGTCTCCTCGAGATAGATTTCAATTCCTTTGGATACAGACCCAGAAGTGGGGTTGCTGGATCAAGTGGTTGTTCTTTTCTTAGTTGAGACTGGCTCATTTAGATAGAAGCATTGAACTTGTAAGGTCATATAAATTTCAGAGCCAAGGTCACCATTTGGGGGCCAGTAATGGAATGTAAAGCAGAATGAGCTGATGTCTAAGAGAAGCAGCTGAATGCAGTTAATGAAGACAGTTAATAGGAGACAATCAGCCTTGAAGCCCAGAGAGAGGGAGTCAGTGGCTATCTTGGCTCTGACAGCTTTCTGATCCATTTCAGTCCAGCCTAAGGTCTGGTTGCCACTTCCTGTTCTTGAGTTCCCTGCAGTTCTTCTGAGTGTTTATAATAAATCCTCTACCTAAGTGGCTTCCTTAGGCAACATTGTAATGTGCCTAATTCTTTTCTGCCCTTCCTAATAGTCTTAGCCTAATAAAACCACACACCTTCCACATCAGGAACACACACATATATAGCAGAGACACTTACTTACACTACAGCTCAAATATGCCCAGAAAAAGTAAGTTTCTTATTTTTTTCTAGAGTTTCACCTGTGTATTAGTTATCTATTACTGCATAACAAAACACCCCAGAACTTAGTCACTTAAAACAATAATAAACATTATTTCCTCATTTCTGTGGGTCAAGAATTTGGGAGCAGCTTAGCTGGGCAGTTCTGGAACTGTAGTCAGTCACTAGACTAGGGCTGGAAGATCTGCTGCCACAGCGGCTCACTCACCTGGTGGCTAGTTGGTGCTGGTTGGTGAGAGGCTTTAGTGTTCCGCACGTGGGCCCCTTCGTAAGATGGCTTGAGTGTCCTTATGACTGGTGGTGGCTGGCTTCCTCCAGAATGAGTAATCCAACAGGAAGAGAGCCAGGAAGAAACAATATTTATTATGATCTAGTGTCAGAAGTTACAGAGCATCACTTCTGCCACATTCTCTTCATCAAAAACAGATTACTAAGTCTGGCCCACATTCAAGGGAAGTAGTATTAGGTGTCACCATTTGAAGAGAGACATATCAAAGAATCTGTTGACATATCTTAAAACCACCACAACTGCCCGGCCGGTGTGGCTCAGTGGTTGAGCATTGACCCATGCACCAAGAGGTCACTGGTTCAATTAGGGTACATGACCAGGTTGTGGGCCAGATCCCCAGTGGGGATGTGCGGGAGGCGGCCAATCGTTCTCTATCATCGATGTTTCTATCTCTCTCTTCCTCTCCCTTCCTCTCTCTCTAAAAAAAAAAAAAAAAAATCAATAAAAGAAAAAAAAGCCCAGGCCGGGTTGACTAGCGTTTAGAGCGTTGGCCCGCGGTCCGAGACCCAGGTTCGGTTCCTGCTAAGGGCATGTACCTCGGTTGCAGTTTGTCCCCGGCCCTGGTTGGGTCGTGCGGGTGGCAGCCACTCGATGTGTCCCTTTCACATCAATGTTTCTCTCTCTTCCTCTCTCTCCCTCCCACTCTGTCTGAACAAAAAAATGGAAAAATGTCCTCAGGTCAGGATAAAAAAAAGAAAAAAAAGAAAAAGAAACTCCACAACTGTTAGGTTACAGAGGGGGAAAGCTCCCAATCCAGTTTTAAATATTTATTTTATTTATTAATTACATATTTAATTTATTAAATATTTCATTATTTTATTTATTATTTATTTTTATTATTGAAAGTATTACAGATGTCCCCCTTTCTTCCCCATTGACCCCCTCCTTCCCACTCCCACTGGCCTCCTGCTTTCCCCAACCTAATGTCTGTGTCAACTGGTCATATAAGTTCTTTGGTTTATTTATCTCTTCCCACCCCTCCCACCCTCCATCCCTCTGAGGTTTGTCAGTCTGTACTTCTGTAAAGGAGAGCTTTCTTCTAAAAAGACTATTTTAATAAATGTCTCAGTGAACAACTGAACAGTGGTTTACTTCTACTTTTGTTTAAACCACTTGGAAAGACCCTGTCATTTTCAAGGATTTGTTACCAATTGTTGGAACCATTCACCAATATCTCAATAACATCCCCAATACTTCCTGTTGTTCCTTTTCTTGGTTCCCAGGAGCTTTTTAAATTTAGGCAATGCACATTGTAGGATTTGAGGTAAAGGTGGATGAAAAGCTCACCATTCTATGGCAAAATCCAAGAAAAACTACTAGGTGGGAACCTAGGAGCATGACATTTCGATTGCACCATTTCGCAGGAAGATCACTTTGAGGAGGCATGCTTGTGGAAGTTGAAGATTGAGAAATTAGTTCCCATAAAACAGTTGGGATGCTCTGGGACCCCTTGGAAAGTGTTTGCCTGCCCCAGTCTGAAGACCTGCTCTATAGGACGGAACACTCTGAGCAACCTTTGGTTGATGACTAGGGAAGCCAGAAATAAAGAAATTTCAAGAATGGCTTTCAAAACAGTAACCTGGATTTGAAACCTATTGTCTTGATACATACCTCCTATTTTGAATTTCAGAAGCTGAGTATTCCTTCTTTCCATTTGTTTTGTAAGTTCTAAATGGTACCATGCTTCCTATTCCTAGGGCAAATTGATTCTGTAGGGAGGGGAATAAAAATCACACAAATTGCCTTGCAGGTGTGGCCCAGGGGTTGAGCATCAACCCATGCACCAAGAGGTTCACCGGTTTTATTCCTGGTCAGGACACATGCCCAGGTTGTGGGCCAAATGCCCAGTGGGGGGGCATGCAGGAGGCAACCAATTGATGTTCTCTCTCATCGATGTTTCTATCTCTCCCTCTCCCTTCCTCTCTAAAAATCAATAAAGAAAAAACAAATCACACAAATTATTTTTAAAATACTACTCCAGCTGCACAAGTATTGTAGGATTTTTATGAGTTTGGGTGGAAAACAACTGGCTCTTTAACTTCTTCCAAGTGGCTAGGAATAAGTTTGGTGATTACAAACTTAATATTTTTAACTGAGTTAATATTTACATAACATGCTCTCTAGTAATTCTTAATAACATTCTGATTCCTTGTAAAAATATTTTAATTATTTCATCATTAAGTCATGATGTACACATGCAATCACTCTAAAAGGGATGAATAATTTGGCCTTTTTTTTTTTTTTGGCCTCAACTAATTTAAAGCAATTTTGTTCATTTCTTCTGTCAAAGGGTCATAGCAGTGGAACACAGCACATTGAATTGACAAGTTATTTTAGTCTAGTCTATGATTCATGATGCAGAGGAGTATAGTGTAGGGTGCCTGCTCTGGAGTCGAGGTTAGTTTCAAATCCTAGCTCCCACACTAACTGGCTGTGTCATTTGAGGCACATTACTTATCCTCGCTAAGCCTTAGTTTACTCATCCATTTTATGGTTTGATAGGAGGATTAAATGACATAATGTCCTAAATATGTGCCACATGATAAATACAAGCTTTTTTGTTGTTTTTGTTGTTATCGACTAAGAGATGATATCAGTCACCAGCCTGCTGGTTTTCTAACAGTTTCTTCAAACACACATCAGCTTTCCTGATAAATGAATTTTCTGAAAGTGGCAGGTTTTAGAAAAACCGAGTTGAATTTCTCTGTGAGTCTTATATACAAAAGCTAGAATTAACCTGACTCTTCTCCTAAAATAAAAAGAGTAAATATGTCTTTTTTTTTTTAATCCTTACCCGAGGACATTTTTTTTTTTTTTTTGCATTTATCTTCAGATAGAGCGGGAGGGAGAGAGGGAAGAAAAGAGAGAAACATCAATGTCAGAGAGACACATCGAGTGGCTGCCACCCACATGACCCCAACTGGGGCCGGGGACAAACTCCAGCAGAGGTACGTGCCCCCAGCGGGAACTGAACCTGGAACTCTTTCGTCCATGGGCCTATGCTCCAACTGCTGAGCATACCGGCCAGGGTGAGTAAATATGTCTTATACTGTGCATATCTAGCCAGGAGGGAACTTCAATTTCTTCACTTGATCTTAGCCAAAAGACAGAACTTCAATTTTTTTTTTTTTTTTTTAATCCTCACCTGAGGACATTTTTCCATTCTTTCCTCAGATAGAGTGGGAGGGAGGGAGGGAGGGAGGGAGGGAGGGGGAGAGAGAGAGAGAGAGAGAGAGAGAGAGAGAGAGAGAGAGAGAGAGAGAGAAACATCGATGTGAAAGGGACACATCGACTGGCTGCCACCCGCACGACCAACCAGGACTGGGGACAAACTGCAACCGAGGTACGCGCCCTTTGCGGGAACCGAACCCGGGTCTCTCTGGACTGCAGGCCCACGCTCCAACTGCTGAGCCAAACTGGCCAGGGCCAATTTTTTGTTGTTAATCCTCACCTGACAATATTTTTCCTATTGATTTTTAGAGAGAATGGAAGGGAGGGAGGGAGGGGGAGCAAGAGAGAGAGAGAGAGGGAGACATTGATGTGAGAGACACATGGGTTGGTTGCTTCCCGCATGCGTGCCCTGGACTGGGAATCGAACTCAAGACCCTTTGGTGCTCAGGACAACACTCTAACCACCGGCCAGGGCCAATTTCTTAAAATCATACCCCAGCTCCCCTATGCTACTTCTTTTCTTACAGTTTGCATTCCTGTACATTGTGAGTCAGAACTTCTCCCATGAAACATAAATAATCAGAATTGCCATAGGATTCTGAGTTTAAAAATAATCAGTAATATGCCAACTTTATGAGACAAATACATAGCTGGTTAAATTTCTGATTTGGGGTTCTCCAAATGTTATCCAAGGAATTAACCTTATTAATCAAATTTATTTTCATTGAAAATGATTCAGCAACTCACATTCAAATATATTTATCTTGTCTCTTGTAAAACTGAAAAGCATTTTAAAATTGTTCCTAGTGTCAAGCATCAGGTGTGGATCTAAAGCATCTCCCAATGAAGGCTGTAGGACTTCGGAGCATGATTTCACAGAAGTCAGAAGTCCCAGCCTGAGGAGAAGGACATTTCTCATGTTCTTTCCATCACTCAGTGATGGCACTCTATGGTCATTCTATGAAGGTGGCATTTTCATTTAGTTTCACCTAAAAAGACTGTATTTTTAAATATTTTAAATTGATTTTTAGAGAGAGAAAGAGAAAAACATCGATGTGAGAGCAGAACATCTATCAGCTGCTCTACCAGGGATTGAGCCCGAAACCCTTCACTGTACTGGACGACACCCAACCAACTGAACCACACCAGCGTAGGTGCACATAAATAGACTTTTAAGGAAAGAAGCTGTGGAGATTGGAAGGAGTACCACTGCAGTGTCCATACTAATTTTTAGAACCCTTTCAAGGTTTAGGGTCAGCAACAATTCAGTAAGGAAAGGGCCCATTAAGTAAATTTGGCTCTGAAAATGCTAATTGAAAGTCCTCCTCAGCAATTCAGCCCCTTTCCCTCTGCCTTTCTGTAGCCAGCTGGGTCCCATGGTGACAGACTGGTTCTGAAAGAAATCATCCCCTTCAGCAGTTACCTAGCACCATGGCAACCGAGACGTCAGCAAAGCAGGATAGACCCCAGAACAAAACAGCTCCTACCAGGCTCCCTCCCTGCCACTCTAATTCAACCCTGTCTGAGGCCTAGGGATGGAGCGAAAGACATGCAGACACCCACACCCAAGAAATCCTATGTGTTTCTGTGTTTTTTCCATGAGCCTAGAAATATGGACATATTGAAAATATTTGAAATTTCTCCAAAACATAGAACATTTTTAAAAGGTTGGGATGGGTGGTGGGATGAGGACAGGGAGGTAGGTATGGGATGCCCTTTGGGTTTAATGTTACATACAAATTACATTTGTATGTATAAGGTAACAGTAAATTGACAGACAGGGAAATTGGACCCCTAACTATATGGCTGACCTGATTTCTATTTAGACAAAAGACCTCAGAGAAATATTTTAAAATATTTTTATTTACCTGAGAGTTAAGTGGACAAAAAAAGGCTTTATAACACTGAAGGGGGTGTAATGCTGTCCGTGGTGCTGAATACTCCATTGTCCCAGATGTGCCAAGGGGGCTCCGGAGGCTGGTTAGGGAACATCTTGTCGTGTTAGGGTACTGATGATAGAAAAGAAAAGAACTGGGGAGAAAGCATCATTTCCAACCCTACCAAGTACCTCTGAATACCCAGGATAAAACGTTCAGGTGAAAAATAAAAAATAAAGTGGAGAAGGCTGGAGGTTTGGATGCTTGAATCTTCCCTTTTCATATGGAGATTTTTGGTGAGAGCCAATCAGGTCAGAGATTTCTGCTGCTTTGCTCCTGAAAGGAAAAGTGGGGGAAGGGAGAGAGATGGCCACATTCTCCCCTTGAGCCACATGATCCATTTCCCATGTGACACATTCCAGAGCCTTGGAAAGGAGAAGGGAGGGGAACCAGGAGAGTGGGGCTGGGGGCGGGAAGATGGTTTGACAGTCAACCCTGCACAGCGTCATCTTGTCTCCCTACCAGGAAGCGGGCTGTGAGCCAAGGGAAAGGCAGAGGACAGATATGAATGTGTTTCCAAGCTTTCCTGGTGGTTTATGGCATTCTCCAAACTCCTATGCAAGGGCTATTCCTGACCAAGAAGACCCAAGGAGACTGGCTCTAAAATCAAGTCTGGATGGAGGTATGTGCTAGAGATCCTGCAGTATTGTTGCTAAAATTTAGCTTAGAGAACATAATACCTTCTTTTTTTCCAGGCAGTTTGGAGATTTTTGTCTTGGTTTATTGGCTGTTTAGGGGCTTTAGTTTTGTTATAGGTCCAGAAAAGATGCCTAGGTAGTTCTGCAACATGAATAACTCACCAGAGTAAGTGCCTGTTGAAGAAAAATTAGATGGAATTTCTATATAGTGATAATTAATAAAATAAAGCAGTCACTGATGAAAATGATTTTTTTTTCTTTGCACACTTGAAAGAAGGAAAATATTACTGAAGCCAGCTAGATTTTATTGTCACTGCAAAAAATAATCCTGTTTCATCCCTTTTCAGCTGCTTATTCTGTGCTTATGTTCCCAGAGGTTACTGGCAGTGGCTCGGGAGCCTGAGTAGGCAGGCTGCTGTTTCTTTGTGCTATGCAGTTCTCTTCCTTCTGATGTTCCTGATACCAGGAGTGCTCGTGACTGTTTCCAGCTTTGGTTCAGGACAGTAGACTGCCACCGAATTTCAAACCTTATAGAATAGCTACCAAGAGGGCCCCCAGGAAGTTCTCAAAGGAATCTTCCAAAGTTACAGGCTAAAATAATCTGCCATGAACTCAAATCTTGGTATCTTAGACCATTTCTACCCAGCATAGAGAAGGAAGCTAACAGATTTAAATTTTGTCTTTTTTTCCCCCTACAAATACTTATAAAGTTCTTTCTATATGTAAGGCATCAGTCTAAGTATAAAAAATCAGTCATGTAATCCCTATAATATCCCTCTGAAGGAGCCATTATTAGTACCCACATTTCAGTGATGAAGAAATTAAGGCACAGAGAGGTTAGGGAACTCTTCCAAGGTCACACAGCTAATAAATAGTAGGAACAGAATTTGGACACAAGAAACTTGACCCCAGAGTTCATGATCTTAACCACTCAACCATGCTGCTTCTCTGATTGTATTATTTCAAATGATGTCAACAGTTGATTTGGTTACAAATTTTGTTCAGCTGATGCTACTAGAAGATTGAATTAGCTTGCCTGGCTAAAATACATCCCCAGTGAAATCTATATTTAATCTTGAATTATCCCAATAATCACATTTTGTACCCCTAAATGACTGTTCTCTTCCCCTTGTGCTGTATAGATATCTGGTAGTAAAACACTGTGTTACTATGGTGACCAAATGATGTATAAAGAAAAAAAAGAAATCTAGAATTACATCATGGTTAATTTTTCTTTAATCGAACCTAGAAACATTCTTTCTTCCTTAAAACCTAGTAATAAGACCACCCTAAGCATGTTCTCTTTAAAAACACTTACCTGGTTTTCAAAATAAGAAATAGATTAAAAACTTCTAAAATTATGAACATAAACTATGATATCAAACTGATTACATATGTTGCTTTAAAATAATATTATACTTTAAAACAAGGGAATCTCAATCTCTCTCTCTCAAGTTATTTTAGGTTTTTAAGGGGAAAAGGTGAAGGCTTTTTTTGTTTTTTGTTTTTAACTTCTGGAAATTTCTGAGATATAAAGATTTTCTTCCTTTGGTCCGTGTAGTTTCCCTTCTGGCCCTTGACAGTAAAAGATGACTGATCTCATTCTTATATGCTGTGGGAATTTGCTAGGTCAAGGATACAAAGAGGAAGATAAGGTATAGGAGTCTAAAATTTGTGAAATTCTTCACTAAATGAGGTGTTTCCCTTCAGGGTTTCATTGAAGAATACTTTGAAGAGTAGTTGTATCTGCTACAGTATTGAACTTTAGTTAGTCCTGTAGATTAAACCTTTTATCCCTGCTGAAATCTACAGTTCCCTGGGACAAGGAACACGTTCACACCAATCTAGTCACCCGTAAGAAGCCACTTGTATCCTTCCATCTTTGGATTGCTAGCATTTATGGTTTATGGTGAACTCTCAGTATGCATTTGCCAATGGAATGGGAAGACTCAAGACTGGTAGCATTCTGTTGGAGCCAGTCCGGGGGCCCATGCCTGTTTTGTTCTGCACGTGTATATAGAAAGGATAGTGAGGAGATGAATGTAGAGTAGGAGAAAACTTGGCAACAGTCAAAATTATGCCTAAAATTTATTTGTTAGTCAGACTGGCCCTGAAACAATGGCAAACTAGAGTTCAAGATGTATCCATAAATTATTTCCTGGGGATTACCAATCCCCCTGGCATTTTATTTATTTTTAGAATGAAGTTCTTCTGATAGTTTATTATATGTATTGGGGTAACATCGGTTAATAAGATTATATAGGTTTCAAGTGTACATGTATTTGATACTTCATCTGTATATTGCATTGTATACCCACCACCCAAAGTAACTCATTTTCTGTCACCATATGTTTGGCCCCATTTACCCCTTACTATCGCCCCACCCCACCCCTCTTTCGTCTGGTAACCACCATACTGTTGTCTGTGTCTATGTCTTCTGATACTTTATTTACATCTAGATGGAAGCACCGCTAACAGTCTCTGATGTTTTTCCTGGCACCATTTCCCAGCATAGTAATAGTCCACTTTGAGCTGAGAGTTCATGTCTTGAGAAGGTCAGTTCCTTCCCCAGGCAGTCCTGTCCTAGCCAGCTCTGGATCTGGTGCCCAGAACGCTGCACCAAGAACTCACAGAACTACAGGATTCCCCCCAAGGGAACCCTGGGATCTTCAGTGTCAGAGTGGGTTGGGGCCACACTGCCTTTCCCAAACAGTGGTAGTTAGGACCAGAGTCCAAAACATTGTATCTGAGCATTTGAAAGGTTGCTTAGGATTCAAATGAACAGACTAATTAGGGTTAAAACAGTCACTCCTCTTGATAACATACACAAATATAACCTTTTCTGTTATTTTTTGATCTCATTAATTCATCGAGGAGAGGAAGAACAGGGTTTGTAAATAAGGTATGAGAATCCTATTCACTCATCTTCCTCACCTCCAGTGTTTGCTACCTGCTGAGCGAGCTGTGCAAAAGAAACAGCCCTGCTGGAACCGGTGCTGCATGCCCACCGCATCATGCAGGACTTCTCAGAGGAGCAGGTGGGTTAGTGCACGCAGAGGCTTCCATCTGGAAGCCTAGCCGGCTTCATACTCATCCCTCGTGAATCTAAAAGGGGGCAGTCTATTCAACTAGCTGAACAAGAGAAGACAGAAGAGAAAGAGAAAGTAGAAAGGCTTCCCCTTGAGGGGAGGCTTTGCCAAGTATGGTTTCAACTTGGAGGCTAGGAATGAAAGAGGAAATAAGAAGAGGGACAACAAACACAGGTGAAGCATATGAGAAAGTGGTGCCTGTGTCCTGCCTTTTGGTCACAGTAACCTGCCCACCGCTAGTAAACCCTGCCAAATGAGTCAAGCCTGCCAGTGGAATTCTTCCCTAAAGTATATACATAGGGAGGAAGAAGGGCCAGAACAGATGGTTTCTCCTCTATGAACCAAAGCACAAAATGGGTTGTGATGAGAGGTAGCCTCTTCAAGAGGATGGTTTAAAAAGCAAAAGGGGAGTTACCGCTATGAATGTCTTTTTCTGTTTGTAGAGTCACTTTCCCTTGGCTAGACTTTTGAAGCATTCATCTCCTGGAGGCTTTCATTACCTTCCTAGGCACTATATGTCTGTCGTGTTTGATCCTGATGGAAACTCTATGATATGCATTATGAGCCCCAACTGCTGATCAGGAAACTGAAGCTCAGAGGGGTGAACTCATCTGCTCAAAGTCACACAGCAAAGAGCCAGGATCTGGATCCAGGTCTTTCTAATTTTGTGCTCTTTCCCCTATATTACAAGTAAAGTTCTTTCTGCTACATTCTGTTAAAAAAATATATGTTTTCGGCCCTGGCCGGTTTGGCTCAGCGGTTAGAGCATCGGCCTGCAGTCCAGAGAGACCCGGGTTCGGTTCCCGCTAAGGGCACGTACCTCGGTTACAGTTTGTCCCCGGCCCTGGTTGGGTCATGTGGGTGGCAGCCACTCGATGTGTCCCTTTCACGCCAATGTTTCTCTCTCTCTCCCTCTTCCTCTCTCTCCCTCTCACTCTATCTGAACAAGAAATGGAAAAATGTCCTCGGGTGAGGATTAAAAAAATAATAACAAAAAAAAATAAATAAATAAAAAATATATGTTTTTGGATATTAGATGAATACAAATACAGTTCCAGAAAATTTGGAAAATGTAGAGAAGTATAAAAGTATAATGAAAATAAAAACCAATCATGATCTCACCCCCTAGAAACAACCACTGTTAAAAAATTTTGGTGTTTTTTTCAACGCATGTAATAACAAAAGTAAACATTTCCTTAGCACTTGCTTTGTTCTAGATGTGGCTTTTAGCTCCTTTCTTGTGTTATTTATTTTACTCTCACAACAAATCAATAATATTCATACTGGTATTATCCTCATTTTACTGGTGAACATACTAAAGTACAAAGATGTCAAGTCACTTGCAGAAGCTACATAGGTGACACGTGATTTGAAACCAAGCAGGCTGGCTCTAGGGCAGGGTGTCTCAGTTTCAACACTTCTGGCATTTGGACTAGATAATTCTTTGTTGGGAGTGGGGAGTGTCCTCTTTATTATAGACTGTTTAGCAGCATCCCTGGCCTCTGCCTGCCAGATGTCAGTAACACCTTCCTCCCCAAGTTGTGACAACCAAGAATGTGTCCAGACATTGCCCAGTGTCCTCTGGGAGTCAAAGTTACCTGTGACCCACTGCTCTAGACCCCATGTTCTCAACCACTGCACTGTACAGCATCTTTATATTTAAAATGTGCATAGAGTTCTTTTTCTCCACATCTAAAGAAGGAAATACACCTTTAAATTTGGGTGTAGGCTATGAAATTTACCTAGAATGTCAGTGACATTATAGATCATAGAAGGGAGTTAGTTACAGAAAAATGTTCCTTGGTAGACTTTTATAACAGGCTTAGAGAATCACACCATTGCCCAGTGAAGAGAATAACCATGTTTCCCTTTTTTATTACTTTTTCCTGGTTCTCTGTACCAGGCACCCTTTAGCCTTCAAGAATTCAGATTTTAGGTTTACACTTACAGGTATTGTAGGGTGGTGCTTATCAACCAAAGTATCAAAATAGATTGCTATGTCCCAGACAAAAGATGCCTGTTGCAAAAAGTTGCTTGCTAATAAATGAAGTACCAAAGTTTGCCAGTGATTTGTTTTTAAAAATT